TATGTAGAATATTTTATTGAATGAATGTGTGGTGGAGAATCTTACTTTAACAAATAATTTTTTAAAATAATGGTCGACAAACGGGGGCTAAAGTCTATGAGAATTCATTTTCATACCATTCAGTTTATTGCTACAACTAGTAGAAAATCTATATTTTACAACTTAACCGTTAAGATATAATTATATTATATACACTAATCAATTTGCATTCTTTAGATTACGCTCTGTACTCTGTTGTTGATATTGGACTTAAATGTGCTTTTTAAGTTTTATAATTTATGAATTCTAAAGAATGTGTGGATAATAAGTGTATTGTAAGTCGTGGATATTTGAAATGTGTGAAAAAAGTGTTTAATCAATTTAAATTAAAACAATATTGCTCTTCTACTTGTGCCATTGTACGTTGCTTAAGAGCTTTTTTTCATTCTATAGAATATTAATGTATAAATTAAGTTTACATGTTTATCACGACACAATGAATTAATTTATTTTTTAGTTTAGATTTGATAACAAAAATTGCCTATGAACTAGGTAGAATCGTAAATATCACTCAATTGGCAGCTTTATTTGTAAATTTTAGTGACTGGAATTCTGGGCTACCTACCTATGGCACAATCTTTTTGGATCCGAAGCAAAATTTTCGTTCAAGCAAGACATACTTGATCTTAGAAAGTAAATTTTGACGGTCGATGCCCCTTTGTAGCAGGTTCTCAACTCAAATATAAGTAAAACCTTGTCACTTTTACAATATGCATATTTCGTTGGGACATAGAGATCTTGAATACATGTTTTTTAATGACAAATGACACTTTTTCTTTTGAACTAATCATCATAAATTAAGAATATCAAAATAGCTCGCCGGCTCGGGCTGCCAGGAAAAAGCCCAAGCCAAGCCAAGCCGGGCCGTGGCTTGGTGGGACCGAGCCGAGGCTTGGACCGAGCCGAGGCTTAGGCCGAACCCCATTTTTGGGGCTTCAGCTCAAGCGGGGCTGCCCCGTGAGCCTAAAAAATAAAAAATAAAAAAACTTGCGTACTATTTCTTTTTTCTTTTAATATTAATTGTAATTTTTTATATGTTAATATTTAATTATTATTTATAATACGTATAAATTGCACAAATTTTAAATTCTTTAAAAAAAATTAGATTTGTCACGAATTAAAAAAAAAATCGATTAGGCTCGGGCTAAAAAAAGCTCAAAGTATTTTTACTCGAGCTGAGTCCGAGCAAAAAGTTTCGACTCGCAGCTCGACTCGTTGACACTTCTATCATAAATTGAGTAAAATATTGGAACGATATGAGAGAGAACGAGTATAAGAGTATTATCACCTGTTTGAGCCCTATTTTTTTGGAAATAATATATTTTGAAATAGTATTTTGTAGGAGAATGTGTGGTTAAAAAATAAAGAGAAGTTTTGAGGTTACGTGTAATATTATTTTATTAAAAAAATTGTGGTTGAAAATTAAAGAGAGAAAAATGTATTTTAAAAATAATGGAGACCAAACAAGAGCTAAATAACATATTCTCTTTCAATTTCTTTTCAAGTCATAAGCTAAAACACCATCTTGAGAGAGTGATTACGTGACGTTTAATGAAATTATTTGTCCAACAACTTGTTTGTGTTTTTTGTGTATATTTGTACACGTAGCTCTACATTTGGTAGACTTGGTCGAAATTAAAAGGCACTTAAGCAAAGTTCATTAAGATAAGTAATATTTGTAGAAGACCAATCTCACAAGTTGATTATTCTATGTCGAAAAAGAGCTGGTAAGAATTTATGATCTGCTTCTGAGTAGGGCAAATAATTCAACTTATTTTTCCATTTGCACCAACCAAAAGAACCTAACACTTGCGTCTAATTTATATTGTACTTTCCTATGAATATTACTTGTACTTGGGTCGTGAATTAGGGTTTAGTTTATTGATATACCTACCGGTTATACCATATTGTACTTCCTTATCCATGCGTGACAACAAAACTCCCGTTCCTAATAAATTGAAGTTTACTGAAAAAATGTATCTTTTGGAAGTCGATAGGTCATGACAGTTGTGACCTCTCTCATCTAGCTTGTCATCATGTCATGCTAAGACGTCGGCATATGCTAATTTATTTACACTAAGCAACTTGTGTTAATGTTTTAGGTTTTCTTTTTTTCTTTTAAATTTCACCCGTACGTACTCCACGAGATGACACTCCAATTCAGCTAACTGTCCTAGTACGATTTCATTCTTACAGCTTCGAGCTCGATGTTTCTCATTGCTTGAGATTATTTGTGTACTATTGCTAATCTTGGCTTAAAGATTATGATCCCACTTGTACTCGTTGACTCATTGTAAATTGCTTAATCCTGTTTCTTGCTATACAATTAATTGTTATAAATGTTTAATTTAAAATTTGTTAATTAATTAACTAATATAAATAACTAAACAACCCATGAACTATACAAGTAGATTAATCGTATCGAACTAAACGGTTGCTGCTGCTTTTTTATGTTTTGGTGGCTGGAAATCCGCCTACTTACCTAACTACTTGTCAATGGCACTTCTTTTTCTTTTTTTTTTTTCAGTATCAGAAGGAAATTCCATAATTTTATTTCAGCAAGATTTAATAAATTGTATTGTCGATGCCCCGTTTTAGTGGGTTTAAGCTCGGATAAATGGATTGTGAGAAGCTGACGTGTAACGGAAAATCTAATCTATAGTCTTATATCTCCAGCCTT